GGGGGGGGGGGGGGGGCTGTTCAGAGATATGGGTGCATACATGCATGTAGGTATACACAAAACTCCATTCATGTGCTATTCCGCTTTATATTTATCCATGGGAAAATTGTCATAAGCAGTGTTTTGCACCCGTTTGGGACTGGCTTACTCTGTGCAATGTAACATGGCACTCCAGTGTCATTTCAAAGGGATTTATAATCAGATTGAGAGTCCAGGCCCTTTTACTGTCAGCCATTAGTTCCTGTTGGTTTGCATTACTGTTCTTTGAAAAGAGTCAGATAAGATCCAGGATACGTACTTCTATCATGGAACATGTACGAAGGGCACGATGCTAATCCTTGCCAAGCACTGCGGAGGAGAACGTGCCCCGCTTACTGACTAATATCATGCCGGACATGTTTACGTGTCACCCTACAGCTCTATACAGGGGGACCCATCCTAAGGTATGAAATGGCAGTGTTCAGTTCCTTGTCTACCATGGCAGGTACCGTCTCCATTAGAAGGCTCAGTGTTGGAGCATTTCTGATTTTATGAGCATCTTCAGGTACTACTTTGGTGAATTGCATCTTACAGCAGTAGACAAGGTGTCTGATATACCTTCAGTAGGTTCACTGCCAAAAATATGTCTGTGTGTCTTCTGTTGTGATTAATTAATTTAATGAATCCTTACTAATAGCACTATGGACCAGGTCTGTGTGTGTTTTCATGCAGCACCATCGACAAACCTGATCTTGCAGCAGAAAACGTTCCACATCCTTGTACGCGGCTGTGTGCTTGTGTTTGACCACCAGTTCACACCAGCGATGTCTCACCTGAGAAAGGCAGATAAACATCTTCAATAAACTATCAAGTTCAGATGCTTGTCCGATTTGAGTTCAATCAGTGTTTACCTGGAGCAGCATTCTGTGCTACAGCACTGAATCCCACATCCACGATCTCCTGTTGGAGGAGCGCTGTAATTTCACTGTAAACAGTGCTCCCTGAGTTTAGCCCCGTCAGCAGACATATTAGTTGCCATGGATAAGTGAAACCAAAACAGCCACATGGACAAAGCAGTAAACTAACCGCTCAACTGATTTGGATCCCCAGCCAGAGCTGGTACAGAGCTGCCTCACCATTGGATCAATATTCACCAAATATTGAGTGGGCGGAGCCAGGTGAAAAAGCTTGGTAGTTCCTTCTGCCTTCTTGTTAAGGTTCTGGCTCTTTAAGGCATGCCTGCCCATTCTGCAGAGCATCAATAGGAGCACTGTTAGTGCACGGACTCGGTGAGATCAGAGGCAGGCTCTGTGCTGCTCCTCGCCTTCCTTTGGCACCACCAGCACCAACCCGACTGTGGTCTCTAAATTCTCGGGCCCTCCTCTAGACCTCGCGTATAAGACAGCACCTGCTGATGGGCCCGCTGGTGACGCAGCGCGGGATGCTACGTGCGGAATACTGAAAAGGGGAAAAGCTGCAGTTTCCTCTTACTGCCATCGTCAAAATGAACTGTCACAGCATCACAACTGTCACTCTGCTGCGATTCAGTGCTCCGCTTGGGTAACTGGTGGCGGGCTGGAGGGCTGTTATTCGGGCCGCACTGCTAGCCCAAGTGTGATTTTTAAGATTCCAGGCTTCAATTTAAGCTGGCATGTTTGTAGATCCTATTTACTAAGCCAGTAAACTGGGTTATTCAGGAGCACAATGGCAGCATGCGGTTCATCACACTGCACCTGTACAGTAACAGGTGAGAGGCGCAGGCAGCTAAATGCTCCCCTGCCTATTACATCACCTGGGCTCTGGCCTGGTCTGCTCCAGCGACTCATTATTACATCATTAGCACGGCGCGTTATTTATTTATTTGCTTATCAAACACTTCTTTTGAAGGCAGCTTGAGGGTGTAATTTTGTTCTGGCGTGAAGCAGAAATGGCTTCGCTTAAGCACACAGCAGCATGGCTGCGACCTCCCCCCCTCCCCCCCATTGGCATTTTTCATACTGACTACTACAGCACGTGCATCCTGATAACCTTGGGGGGGGGGGGCACATCTCCCCCTCACTGGCACAGTGTTTACAAAGATAAAGAGCTGCTGGTAAACGTCTGTCTACGTGAGGCCACATATCGATTAACGCAAGTCAAGCTTAATTAAATCAGATGGAGGCTGCGGAGCGCGTGGCCAATTGGAAAGGCCAGTATGGATACTACAGGACTCAATGTCAGCTCACAGACCACGGTACCACGTGCTCTACCAAAACAAACAAAACGAGCTCCATTTCACTGTGACCCCTCGTAACCTAAACCAGTGGCAAACGGACGTCTGAACCAGAAAGTTCCCTAGAGTCACCTTGACAGCTCGCTTCTCTCTCTCAGTCTCCCTCGTTAGACAATGTCTCCTCCACACCCAGACAGAAGACGACGTGACACGTCTCTCGCTGAGGTGGCCTCCAGAGGTCCTGCCCCATCCATGTAATGGTGAAGACCACACTTAGGGGTTAAAGAGGCAGAAATGATGCCGGCCACTTTGCAGAGACCCGAGCTGTCATGGGGGGGGTTCCTGCCGTTTTTGTGTGGACACCTGTGTGATGGATGGACCAATAAAATTTGCTATGTCTTTAAGCACTGAGTGGTTTCTCGAGCAACGCGAGTGTGGGGTGGGGCATGCCACAGAAGGAGGGGCATATAAAAGATAGTGACCCAACCTCTCTTAACAGCCGCATTACCTTCAGATAAGTAGCACTTTATTTACACATTTTTACTACCTGGATGCCTTTTCCTCCTTATTCACCCTCTGCATTGTGAGAGCGATCTTCAAAACATTCACAGAGATTTACCAGAGTCTAGGAGACTTCCCAGTGCCCCCAGTAAAAGGAAAGAAAAAAAGAGTTTATTAGCCTAGCCAACAATTGTGAACTCCTTTCCACTAATAGAATATGCACAACAGTTGTGCCTAAAGACATCTGGAGCGAGAAGCTATTTTCTTCTTTAAACGGAACATTTTCCATATAAAAGAACCTTTTTCGGATTGTGGTTTTGCATTTTTGGAACAGAAACATCTTCTATTGTTATACACTGCTATCTGACAAAATCCGAGGTTTATTGTACTACATCAGAAATCCACACTAAAGACAGACCACATGCTCATTCTTACCCACAAACCCTAATGGGTCACCTGCAACTCAGCAAAATGTCAACATCCCCGAAACATAACAGATGATTCACTTCTCCTGGCGCAACCGAAGTACAATACAAATATTTACATTCACGATGGTTTAATATAAGCCTGAGGCTGAAAAAGGATAGAATGGGAAAGACCTTAAATATAACACAGAGGGTCAATGTTATTTAAGCAAGACGACAACTGTTATACATAAAACACTGGACATGAGTCAGCTCTCCTGGGCAGTGTATACGTGTGCGTGTGCATGTGCTGGTGTGTGTGTGTGTCTGCGTTCACATGCCATTCTTATTTATTTCTAAATCAAGAGTCTTTCCTGGCATTTCCTGTTGAAAACCTTTGCTCTCAGTTTCAATCCACCAATTTCTCGTAAGAGAAAAGCCACTAAACACGACGGACGGATGCGGGATTGGAATTTGTTCCAATGATCTCTAATGAGCAGACTTTCGTTTAGCAAACCGAAAACGCATGCAGAAGACATAAAGGGAACTATATGACTAAGGCTTGATCACGCAGGCATATTGTTTTTAGTACTGCAAGATGGGGCCGTTTTACAGCTTTCGGGCACATGCTGAGCCAGCGGCATTCTGTGCCGATTCCATCCCCGTTGGCACAAAGAGATGCCGCTCTCTGGAGGTCCCTGACAGATGGTCCTTTGGGACGGAGGGGGTCTGAACAAGATCACGGTGATAATTCACGGTAAAATTCACTGCCCCGTTCACTCAAACGCATGTCAGGGGAGGGGGATTTAAAGGTTATGAAAAGCAGGTTGTTCTGTTCACCCCCGCCCCCCCCCCCCCGCAACCGCCTACTCCCTTCCCGCTTGGCCCCCTCCTCCCTGCCCCACTGCTGCATTCTTCACACAGATACAGCCTGAGGACAAAGGCCCTGATTCACTAGGCATCATGAAACACGGCTCCATGCTACAGGATGTATCCTCATTGCCCTGATACACACATCACCTCCCATTCCACAGGCTGCTTCCCATACAGCTCCTTCCCAACGGCCTGGTTTATCGACAAATAATTTGTAGATATAAATAATAACAGTTAAACGTCTTGTTGCCAGGCACCCAAAGCACGTAATCGATGTTAAGGTTATGATGCAGACCCAAACGGACCATGAGCAGAGAAAGGGCCTATCGACAGAGCTGTAGGCCAGACAATAGGACGCATCATTGCAGCGGTGTGGGTGAGCCGGTCAGGTGTGAGTACATCCGTCCTGTCTGTGCGGCGTCTCACCTCGGCGTCCCTATCCTGTAGATGGTAGGTCTTCTCCAGAGCGCGCAGCGCCGTCAGGGACAGATCAGGCTCATCCAGCAGAAGCTCTAGGAGCAGGACGAGCTGCTCTGGGATCACCTGAGAGCCCAGAGAACAATGTGGTCATTTAACACCATCCTGCCAAAAACAAGGGGATGTGAAATTAACAGCATAAAGCATAATGGCTCTTTGTGTGCAGATTGGACTTCCATTCTCCGTAAAACAAAATGTTTGTATGATTCCTCATCACACCCATTTTCCTGTTGGGAGGGGGGTGTTCTTTTTCCTAAATCATAGGAGAGTGCGCACCCTCACACAAACACAACCACACAGAGAACGCCAAAGCCTGCACACTGTCTAGTGAACATATTCAAAAACAAGGCAAACACTTTGTCACTATGCATGACAAACGATGTTTCTCTCTGTATGAAAAATTATTATTGTTTAGAGGCACATTATCAACTCTCGTTTTTTTTTTTGTTGAAAACGCCTGATAAGTAGGAAGTACAACAAAGGCTAAATAAAACCTAACAAGTTATTAAAGACAAACCAGATATTAATTTTCAGTTTAGGCAACACAATGTAAAGGATGTACTAAAGGGCACCGCAGCAGACAAAACAGGAAGCCGGTACCAGGAGTCAGCGAGCTACAGGAAATGACGTCCAGCGCTCATTAAGAGATGTCCACAGGAAACCGTGTCAGCATCTCAAAATGTCGGCCCAAGGACAGAAAAAGTCCCTAAATCTAATTTCTCCCTGTGGCTGTTGTGATGAAATTTCATTCGGAACGAAACAAGGAAAGAATGTAATGGAGCTTTAAGGCACAGAGGACAGAATCACAAGACACACATGAGAAAAAGCAGAGACATACCCAAACATGATATATGTTAGAAAATACGGTTATATTTATACATCATATCGGATGGATGGATATATTACACTACATATTATTAGTGTATTTTGGCATAATATGCATTCAAACTCATTTAACTGATTGCAAAAGAAAAGAAAACCATTTAAAATATGCCACAGAACATAAGGTTCTATATATATATATATGTATGCATGTTTTAGTTTCCAGAGAATCCATTTTCAGGCTTCCTTCCTCCTGCTGCTGAGTTTTTTTTGGTTCTGTCCTTTTTTGAGCGTCTCTGGCGGGGGTTGGAGTTAAGAATTTGGGCGTAGTGAACTTCTTTTCTAGCCGTGCAGTTAAGTTTCTTGGAAGGATTGGAGTAGGTTACCATGGTTGGACACACCCACCGGTGGGCCCTACCGATCAATGCGTCATTCAACAAAATTAGTAGCTAGTGCAGCCAATGCAATTTTCTAGGTGTGAACCAGCAGAGTGGTGCCAGCGTGCAGGACGAGGGCCGAGCCCATCTGGGTGTGTGCTTGCCGGGCCTCTCCCTCCTAGGGAGCTCAGTACACAAGACCAGACATGAGCTCCCCCCGCCCCCCCACAGCCCAGGCTCCATGCCTGGCAATCGTCACGCAGCCTCCATTCTAACTCGGCCTCTGTCACGCACATGTACGCACTCGTCCCACTTAGCACTCTCTAATTAAGAAAGAAATACCCACACAGAAACAAAAGTAACTCGTCCCTTTTGCTTTCACATGCTATATACGAAGTTATACCATGTGTGGCATTTACACGTGTTTGGACACATGTATGTATATCTACTCAGAGATTAATACTGTTTTTCGTCTATCTTTTTATATCCTGCTCACACATAAGTTCTCCAAAAGATGCTAAAAACTGTGTGTCGCCACAAGACCTGGTGTGAAAAGCGAGGCTGAACTCGGAGAAGTTACGTGTTCAGCACGTTATCGGTTTTCGACATTTCTGACCCAAATGCGCAGTGAGAAACGCTTTAATCAAACTTACCCCTTTATGCACTCTTATGTTGTACAATAGCCATTTGTCAAAAGCCCTCCAGACAGGTAGCAAGGAGAAGAAACAAAAAAACAAACAAACTGTACCACTAAGCGCGGTGAGACACACGGCGGAGTGCTGTCAGACTGGCATGCACTCCAGCATCAACCGCTGCGTGAGCTCAGCAGCCAACCATGCCCCACCCAGGAGTTGCCCCGCCCCCGAGTCCCCTGGATGGCAGCGAACGTCCAGCCTGGGCACCGACCAGGGGCGGAAGATGCAGATATGGAGAGGGAGGGCTGGTCAGCAGACGGGGGTGGCAGCCGCAGGAGACGGATGTGCGCGCAGAACACGGAGTGCTATTCTTACTCTCTATCACGAGGGAATCTCTGCCTTCGTCGGCAAAGCAGCCTTCTTCCCCTCCGACGGCCTCTCTCCCTCCATCCTGTCCCCGGTCTAAAGGCACATTGCGGCCACACCTGTGATGTCATCTCAGTTCACAGTGCCCACCTCCGCGCTCGCTAGTCTGCCCCCCCACCCGTCTGCCAGCCCGCCCCGTCCTGCCCCAGCCCCCGTCTGCTCCTCTGTTTCTCCTCTCCCCCTCTCAAACCCGCCGTCTTTTCTCAGACTTGCGTGTTAAACGGTCTTCCCTAAAATGGTTACAGAATGCTTGGGAGAATTTCGCCCGGCCAGATATGGGTCTATATTTGTCTGCATTACCCGCGAGAGGAACTATTTGCGTTGAGTGGTCTAAGAGAATCACACGAAAAAAAAGAAAAGAAAAGAAAAAAGAAAGACTCAAATACGGAAAGCGACTGGCAGATCTTCAACAGAAATAGGCCAAATCAAAATTAAAGCAATTTGACCTTTGCATATTATACACAGAAGGAATTTATGCAGTTTGCCTGTGTGAGTTTCAGTGGCAAAAGGTCACTAAGACATACATTCTCTTTCATCTGGGCTGATAAAAAGGCGGCTTGATGTCGCATTCCTGATGGCAGGAAGGCAGCCAATGGTGCGACCCGCTATTCCCATTTATCCATCCCCTTTGAAAAGGAAAGGAATTTGAAGTCGTAAAAACTCCCGCATGGTCAATTTGCCTTTGGGAACGGCAATTGTTCTTGGAAGGCCCCTTTGGTCGGGAAAAGGGACAATAATCCTCTCATTGAAGGTGTGTCACATACACACCACTGTTGCATTTCTGGCCTGAACAAACTTTCAGAAGCTGAAGTAAAACCATCAGATAATTATGCAAAATGTGTCTATCCTCTGGTCAGTACTCTGTTGCCATTCTCCAGAAGACTATCGTCAGTACTCAAGTACCATTCTGCATAACCCTACCAACCATTACTACTCCAATGTCGTCCTAAATAACCCCACCATCAGAAGTCCAATGCTATTGTATGCAACACCACCATCAGTATTCCATGCCACCCTACAAGACCCCACCATCAGTACATAATCCTATCATCAGTACTCTGTAAATTCTGCTAGTCCATGTCCTACTCATGATCACATCCCACTCATGGGAGTTATACCTGAGCAATCCATATGCCGTCTGAGATGCACGCACACACACACACACACACACACACACACACACACACATATATAGAAAAAACAAGATGAATCACTTCAAATAGTGAAAATTGCACAATTAGTCTTTTTTCATTTCACTCTGAATTTTCAGTTCCGTCTTGCATAACAACAAAAACATTTAGAAAAAGCTATGGCCATTTGAGTTAGAATAGGAAGGACTGCTTCAGTGCCCCCCCCCACCCCACCACATTAGCCTTGTCTAAAAATCAGATTATTTAGTCTTAAGACTCATTAATTTTGTTGAAATAAATAGTGGATTCAAACTATAAAATAAATGATCGAGCTTTCGCTATAAAACTATAGACCAATTAATCTCCATCCTACTTTCTACTACCCTGCACACTGATTGGATGCAGATCTACTAGCTGAGCCCAGAACCACTAATTTATGGCTTAACAGACAAAAACTGGCACAGGCTTCACATGAACCAATAGGTCCACTTCCTGAGAGCTTCATCACTCACTGCTTTACCCCGGTTAACAACTGAAGCAATCACAAGGTCTCCTTTTCAAAGGGCTGCGTACGTCCTAAGCCACGGATTCATATAATAACAATGCAGAGATCCCCAGAGCTGCAGGTAGGGGCCAGCGGACCTCGTAACAGCTTATTTCGCCATAATTGAGGCTGGCTGATAACAAAGCATTCCAGAATTACAGACGCGTCTTAGCTGCCAGTCGTCTGAATTTTAATCCCTGAACGTTGAAGATACTCGACTGTTTTGAGGAGTTCTTTCATTCCTGCTCCAAAATAAACCTCTGAACTCATACTGTGGTACGAGAGGCAAAAATAATGCGTGTATCCTGATGGCATATGACTGTCACAGTAAAACCGGCCTATTTAAACCAAGCAGGAGAGCACACTGTAAATAAACAGAATTAGCCTCACTAAGATGCAAGTAGTACCCTGGAGGTTTATCAGCCATAGCGGCATCCGACTGACAGGTCCTGTCAACGGCAGGGGGCCACCGGCGGAACGGGAGGGGGCGAGGAGACCCTGTCACGCATGACAGGGCGGGTGACACCTGACAGTGGGAGTCGGCAAGCTGAGGCCCATTTCTCCTTCCCCGGCCCTCCAGGCCAGCCTGTGCATGACTGTCACCAGCGCCCCCACCACCGTCATTTCCCCCCGGATGCTTGTAGCTCTAGCCAGAGGTACCGTTCTGTGGGACCCCGGAGTGAGCCGTGCCACCTAACACCCGCCGCTCTGCAGAGGTACTGCCACGGCGGAGAGCGGCTTTGGGCTCCAGACCGTCAACGGATGCTGACGGGAACGCACTGTGGTGGCGCAGGGCTCAGGCAGCGAGCACTGAGCGCGCTCAGTCGGCGCCGGCCCAATGCTGCCCGTTCTCGCATGACTTTCAGCTTTAAGGTTGGATTACATCTTCCTCCATTCTTCCACACGCTCTTTGGAGTCAAACTACAGACAAAGGTTGCACTGCTTTCTTAACAGAGTATACTTATGTCTCCTCTGGTCATGGTCTGCCTTCAGGATGCTGACAGGGGCGGACAATCAGCTCCAATGAGTATCACTCCAGGACCTTTATACCTTCAGTATATCAATGAATTGCTAATGTAACATGAGTACAGAGTCTCAGTAAACCCCTCTATTATTAGGTATGTATAGTAAA